GGGGGGGGGGAGGAGAAAATGTTTGATTAGTTCACAGTGATGTGTTTCCATCCGGGGGCTGGCCGTATCTGTCTGATGAATATCCATATCACGCTTTTGATAAACTAATAAATTCCTTTACGATCCATACCATTTCATACGAACGTGGAAAAAAACGAATTCAAGTCAACAGTCTTCAACACTTGGGCAGACCTTTTCCCACGCATCAAGCGAGGTATATAAGTAGAACACTCACGCGACGTGCACCTTGTGCACACCAAAGGGATCGAACGGGTCGATTTTACCCGTGATCTTTTTGCGTACGTACGATTTAGGAAGCATGCCCTTGACCCCGTTGTGCTCACCATACAACCACCCGGGGCTGACTGTGAACGGTGGATTGAGGTAAATCTAGNGAGGTAAATCTAGAATAGACAAAAATGTGAATGAAACATCGAGTTGATTGTATAAACATTGAACTAAACAGGGAATAAATGACAGCAATGTAATCAAGCCACAGTGCTCTGTGGTCATTTCATTGTTTGGAACCAACACAAAATCCAAGTACGAGACGGCTACTATGTAACGATTCGTAACCACTTGCCTATCCTATCTTAGTCAGATTTTGAGAGATCAACTGACATTACAATTTCCCACACACAATGATCAGATGCGATTAGAAACATAGTAAACACAACAACGACGCGCCTTAGGCTTCCCATCTATCCGGTGCAAAGCCTCAAATTACATGTAGGCCATGATCACTTAATCGTATTCACGAATACTAGTGATGAGATACCTGAACGATATCAATTATCGACCTTGTATTTCAGTTACTTTTATCATGCGAGAGCAGTGAACGTGTAACACGGAAAAAGTCAATCTGGACAAAACAAAGCAAGCAAGATACAACTCACACTGATTGTCATCCCAGTAGTCAAACTAAGCTCATCTGGATGCCGGGCAGTGAAGTCGAACATCACTTCGTATTGTTCTTTTTCGAAATCCGGTGTAGCTCGACCAGTCGCGGTGGATCTGTCAGACAGGACAATGGGACATGATACTTGTGTTCAAAGCCACCGAATTAGATGACTAGGACACAAAAAACGGGAGAGCCACAGCGGTGTGTCAGACGAAGACTAACTGGGAGGACACTGGAAACGGATACGACAGTGGTCCATTTCCATACAGCCACACACACTCCACTCTCTACAGAACTTGGTCAAATCCGCTTATGGATTCAAAGGAGTAGTACAGAATCGAGTGGGGGGGGGCGAAGCACATCTGTTTTCTGCACTCTGACTAAGTTTTATGACCAATTTTTAATTAAGAATTCACTCAATATGTCAGACAAGATAGCCCTTATTTTCCAACTGAAACTAATCCTGATTACAGGATTTGATGAAAGTCAATAGTCAGTAAAAAACCAAAAGCCTTCGTCAGGTCAGACGCTAGAAGCGAAACAAATATTGATACACGGTGAGGATTTTCCAATTGTACGGTGAAGATCAAAAGTAATACTGAGTCAATTGATGACATTAGGAAAACATGTTGTTTAGATCCCACAACGCATTAGTTTGACCGAAAATCAGAAAGCTGGACAATCATAAACCTTTAAAAAACAAGGTCGATATTGGTCCGAATGGTTGCATAAATATTTACCGACATGAGGTGACAACTGTTGATTTAGAGCCTAAGACCTCACGAACAATAGTGCCGTTGATAAATTATTAACAAAGTTGAGGGGATAAACCCCGTAGTCACGAGGACTTACTCTGTGCATGTGATGACCGGTTACCTAACACCGGGGACTTGGAGTAGCTCAAAGCATGAGACTCGAAAGACGACAAAAGTGATATTACACAGGACGACAGCCGAGCTGACTACCACCAAAGATGGGTGATCGTAACGGGGTTCGAAAATAGAAGGCTAGTGAAGACAAATTAAATCGCTTCGCCATCACAACTACCACCCTCAGTGTACAAACCATTATACGGGGGAGTCGTACAACCGTTTCGTAACGAATTAGACAGGTAGCGATGGCGAGATATAAGAGCACCAGTAATACAAAACAGGTTCTGTTCAAGCTCCGGTAAACTTCAAAAGATCGCCATCAAATAGAGATTCCAACGATTTCGGCATCTACGGAGGAAGCGATCGATTTACGTATGGCTGAATGGCAGTAGCTATATACCAGGAAGTAGTTTAAGATGCGGCGCGTACTAGTTAGGTCGAGATTGTTAAAACTGACATGTGATATCCTCGAAATGACACTCACATTCTGAAGCAAATGAGTAGGTCATATTAGCAGACCGGAAGTGATTTCAGACAAGTGCAGAGGTGTCCATAGGGAGTTGAATAACAAGAAAAGACGGACAGCGATGTAAAACCAATCGACCGGATGATGGAGTAAGCATTAACTTTTACAGGACAGACACTCAAATGGTTACTTTACCCAAGTCAAGTTAACATGATTTCTGGATTTGGTTGAATATGACTACGAGCTGTCAAATCAGCGTATCGCCAAAGCTTGAAATAAACACTGAAATTGGAGATTAAACCCGTAGGTGCACAACAACAAAGTCCCACGCATGGTCCTTGTTCATGTCAGTAACGAATATATTGTAATGACATTACCTCTATCATTCACAATAAGCAAGTGTTGAAAAAAACAGCTTTGTCCAAAGAAGGAAATCTTCATTACGATCCAGACGTTGGGGTAGAGAACGTACTTTGAACGCAAACGCATTGCGTTTGAAAACAAATATAAAAACTGGTTTAGTATCTACTATTTTTATCAATCAGAAACTCATACATAGAGAGATTCGGTCAGCATACAGGGAAACCGTACTAAAGGATATTGAGAAGAAAAACAAATCGTCTAAACTGCCTCCCGTAGCGAAGCTTAACAATACAGCTTTTCAATTCAGTAGTAGTGGGACGTAGAAGAGACAAAACACATCAGAGTCAGTCCGATAAACAACCATTAGTGACCGGGAACGTAGGGCAATAGATTTAGAGGAGACGCACTGCTGATGAGATTTCACAGGAATGAAACAGCTCAGTGATAGGACGGTGCTCTATGATAAACACTCTTTTCCTGAACAGTTCAGTTCTTACAACCATTAACCATGCAGTTTCGTGTGCCGGTTTTGGTTGCCCATTTGGATAAAACAGCAGAATGATGATTAGAATGTTGAGGGCAGATTCAGGCGGAAGATAGCGCAGTTACATAGAATAAAGTTACAAGAATAATGAGTAGATGCAGGAACGCCACTGTTTGCGACACCCAGCCATATCGCTCACTGTCTCTAACCATCGGTGACCATGATCTCGGGGTCGCCAGCCAGGGAGACTAACGGGACCTATATGAGTCAGTCTCCTGGTCAGGGCTTTCATGCCATCATGCCAGGTCTGAGTGCGACCACCCTTTATCTTTTTCCAACCGCTACCTGCCTCGGCAAACATCGCTCGCCGTAGCAACCAATCTGGTGACATGCGTAACACATGTCCCAAACAGCGTAATCTATGAAGGTCCACCACTTGCTAGAGTGGACGACCTCGATTACCTAAAACTCAGCGTCTAACCTCAGCATTGCTCGTCCGGTTCCCCCACCAAACTGGTGCAATGCTACGTAGACAACGGTGTTCGAACACCTACAATCAATTTTTATCCTGTTCCCGTAATGGTCAAGTCTCTGCGCCGTAAAGCAGAACTGAGTTCAGGGGTTTTGTTATTTCCAAAACCAAAGCTGAACCTCCATCCTTAAAAACCGATGGGGTATAGCCCGTCGGGGCCGGTGGCCTGATACCTTTTGAGATAGCTTATTTCTCGGGTAACCTCCATTCCAGATGGAGGACTGATGTCAACTGGCAGTATTTGCACAGTTGAACCGGGTATCGGGAGGTCTTGTGCTGACGAGGGCAGCTGAACTGAGCCTTAAAATGTTCTGCCCATCGATCTAGATGGCGTTGCTGAATATGAATCAGTGTGCCATCGGACTCCTTAATTACCTCACTTACGGCTGCTTTCTTAGACCTGTGCTCCTAATTAATCGGAAAAGATTTCGACTATTACCGATAGCCGCAGCTTTCTCCATCTCTTTACACTTTCCTATCCACCACTTCTCCCAGTCATTCCTCAGACTCTTGAGGAGCTGACGTTTAAGGGGTTTACGCGCGGTTTCGTATTTTGAATCCGAGGCAATGGCTTTGTGAGCGTCCAGCAGGGCAATCGAGGTCGGGGAGATCCAACTTGAAAGCCTCAGTATGGTCGGGGATGGATGTCTTGGGTTGCGG